CTATTTCAACTGGGTGTTCAATATTTCATCTATAAAATCTGCAGACGTGAGACGCTGAGCTGGGGATCGGACCACAGATCACAGCATGGTTTCTCAATATGAGAATGGACATATTCCCCAGGTTGACGCGTGCTTTGCTTGCATGACATTACTCTTTGAACATCTGAAAGGAAAGCAAAGTCTGCGTGTGTCAGGCAAACAGCAAAAGTTCTGAAACCTCATTTATAATTCCTTTGCTGAAATTTTTACCACGATCTTTGACAAATATGAGTGAATTAGCATACTTGTTGTGTGTTAGTTCTAATAAATGTCATAAATATTCATTTTTAAAAAATACAAAGTAAGTAAAGACCATGTGTAAATTTGGGAAAGTGGCATTATTTCATTTGAAGTCTGCGTGAACGCTTTGACATTTGCGGCGGTTTTCTACAACCATTTCCAAAAATGCTGGGATGCTTTTTGAAATCTAAATAAAGCTGCAGTGTAATAATTTGCAATTCAAATGTTGAAGCAGAGAATTTCTTTTTAAATTTGTCCAGTACAACATTTAAAAAAACAACAAGAAAAAAAAAAACAGACATGAGGCTATAGAAGGGATCACTGCATGGTGGAAAACCTCCAAAAAAACATTATCAGTAAACACATGCGAGCTAAAATGTTACAAGAAAAAATAAAAACAGAAATAATACCAGCAGTTAAAATGTTTTATTTGCTTTATAAATTATAGATGTGGCATCCTCCAGCCTAAAGAAGAAGGTTGTTAACAGAGAACAGCTGGTTCTGATGTGCAGTAGTGCTCACGGCCTCGGTAACTTCCACCACCGAGGCTAAAGGATACTTGCAGGATTTAGGGCAACATGTTTTGGTATCGATCCCATACCAAGTAAATACAGGGCCAGTATTGCTGATCCCAGTACCCAAACTTTTAAGCTTAAGTAGGCAGAAACAGTGAATTATGATTTATGAGATCATCATTAGTAGGGCTGGGCTATATCATACCGTTCACGGTAATACCGGTGTAATTTTGGGCAACGATAGGAAAATGAAATATCGCGATAGAATATGGGTTAAACGCGCATGCGCAGTGTCTTTGTTTACATACGCACATGGCGGCGACGCAGAATGAGAAGGGCGAAAGTGGATCGTTGAATGAAACGGATGAAGCAGAATTGGTTTGTAGAAATGCTCCAACTTCAGTGGTGTGGAACTGGTTTAGTTTTTGTCCGTCAGATACACAACAGAGCACTATTTTTGGTAGAGCGTGATAGCGGGCCGTCGTTATTATCGTGTTGTTTGGAAAATACGGCGCACTTAAAATCAATCCTTTGATTTTTCTGAAAGTCGACAGTGCCCCTTATAATCCCGTGTGCCTTATGTATGAACTCTGGTTGTGTTTACTGACCTCGAAACGATTTTATGTGCACGGCGCTCGAAAATCTGTCACGTTTTAGTACGACTTTGCTAAGCTACGAAGCTGCACCGCTTGATGGATTGTCGGAGCATTACGGCTATCGTAGGCAGGCACCTCGCGGAGTGATACGTACTGCACCTCAACATGATGTTACCGTATTGTGTGTGTATAACCTCTTTTTAAGTTTTGTGGATATTATACATGGTTATGCTGAGGATATGTCGGCCAATTTTCACTTGAAATGCCTTTTGGTTAAACTGTCAGCGAGGAATTTGCACTGTTAAATTTTTATATAACTTTAATGCACACAAAAAAACAGCTGCTTGTTTAAGTGAAAATACACTGATGGGTTTTTTGCACTAATAAAGTTGTGGAGTTGTAAAGTATTTTGTCTAGTGTCAATTATATCGTCAGTTATATCGTTATCGCAAATTTTCAAATGTATATCGTGATAAATATTTTTGGTCTAATCATTAGCTTGAAAATTCTGAACACATTTTAATGATCACTCAGTCACTGTGATTCTTACTGTCCACAATAATGAGCTAACACAGCAAAACACGTTTCAGATTTTCATGTATTTTGAAACTGGCTTTTCTTTTGGAAACCTCGACTGTAAATGTGTCCGTCTCTTAAAGAACGCTTCAGGTTTTCATTGCTAACGTTCTCTATGAAGCTGTATAATAACCCTTTATTCTGTGACAGGTGAACACACCTGTCAGACATAGGATCCCAAACACATTTTGTATTTTACCTTCATGCAGCTGTTTTTCATACATTTATAGTGGACATAATATTTCCTAATGCCATTTGCACTCCTCTCTTACACAAGAGTCTTGCTTTTACTGTTTTTAACTAACTTCATTTTTACTTTTGTTTTGTTATCACTGCTGTAAATGTATAAATTCCTGCACTCCCTAATAGCATAAGCCACTTACCGGGTGCCTGTGGCACTTTTGTTTAACTGGGTCACTGTGTTGTGACTGTACTATTTTTTACTCTTTGTCATGTTGCTGTAACACAAAAGTTTCCCTTGTGGGATAAAGTATCTATCTATAGGAGTTTGGTTCAACTTCCTTTACTAAAATTGTCATACTTGAGTATTTTTTTAAAAAAAAAAAAAAGGACAGTCACAGTGAACACACGCTTATCAGATCAGATACTTACAGGGACAAAGTATCAGTCCTATCGTGCAAGTAATGATCTGATGCCGATACCAGCGTTAATACTGATGCTGTTAATATTTGGATCGATCTGCCCACAGCAACTTTGACTATAGTATGGACACATGCCGGGCGTCTGGAGGGGGACACCTTGAGCATTTGTGTTTTGTATGCAAAACTTCATATTGAGTCATACTTCTATATCAATGTGAGCTTTAAAAAATATAGCCTTATTACCCCGGATGCTTCTCTTGGATGCATGCTGTATATCTTAAGTTCCCTTTTTAGGGTTTGCAAATGACTGCATTGTGTTTTAATTCAATTTCACACAGCATCCCAGCTTTTCTGGAAAAGGAGGCGTGTGTTTAAGAACCATTTCCTTCCCTGGAATCAGGGCAGAAGCTGATAGCCGTGCACACACGCGTGACTCTTATCCTTTCCACAGCCATTAGAGTTGCCGAATACCAACCTGAAGCTGCTTTCCTTGATTCCCACAAACTACTTAATTTACTATTTTGTGTTCCGCCTAAGCAGAAAATGCTAACAGCAGGTCCTCGATAATTGCAACAGAAGAAAGCCAGAACGGAGGTCACGAGAGTTTTCCCTCCATATTTTAACAGTATGCCGCTACAGCAGGACAGTGGGTGTCCTTGCCACGCTAATACGTGGTGTTAATTGACGAAAAGCCCAAAACCTGCGAGCGGCTGGAATTTGAGACTCCTCAAGCATGCTAAAAGGAGGGAGGGGAACGAAAAGGGACAGGGGAAGTGGCAGATAGAGATAATCAAAAAGACAGAACAGCCGCAGTGGGCGCTGAGTGGTTGGGATGGCATTGTTGTGATTACAGAAGCGAAGTGAAGTGCCCTCGTCAGCCGAGAGAGTCTGCTGAAGAGACGTCACGGCTGCTAATTTACTGGTGCTCAACGCTTTACCTATTTCCACTGTCCTTGTGACATTACCACAATGACATGCTTACTAATATCTATTCGGTGCCAGGCAGGAACTTAAAAAAAAAAGCAGACGAAATGCTTGAGGAGATGTGAGATTCAAGTGCCTCAATTTACAGTTTGACCTTCACAGAGGCCCGCACAGGATTTAAAGTGTATGATGTCTGCAAATTGACACTGGGATGTTTCCCTTTTGTCTTTGAAACAGAGGAGCTGACAAAAACTGTTCCCACACAAACTGAATATATTACAGTAACTTTATCATTACTTGAATCACAGGAACAGTGTGTGCTTCCACAGCTGGGTTAAACAAAAAAGCCTCGCAGCACATTTCCTTCCTGTAAAACTGATCAGTATGAACACTATAATTGCCAAAAAATTAAGCTTCTTTGGCCTGTTAGAAGACTCCATTTTGACATGTGGATGCTTAATGGATCGAGACAGTCTATTCAACACGGCAGAAGCTAAAAAGCTCTTATTCGATAGAGACCGGACCAAGCAAACGAGCCCATCTAATTATCCATTTCCAATTCTACCTGCAGTCTCATTTCGATGTATCACAGGCAGCCCCCAAAATAATTGCTTTTTTGCAATCTACAAGTTCATTTGCACACATTTTATTGATCAAAATGAGTCAGGAAAAAGAAAACAATCTAAACCTAAATTAAAAGCTTCATTAAATGTGAAAATTGGTCGGGGAATTGCGAACATCTGTTTCTAGCGCCCTGCGTCATAAACTCCAAGGTTAAAGCAAACACCAATTTATGGCGTGCAGTCTCAGGCACGAGCTGGAGCTGTGAAGCACCTTCACAAACACAGCGTAAGTCAACAAGGCTTCAAAAGATTTCTAGGGAGATGTGAGGGCAGGGACTGAAAGCTCTTCCTGCCTCGTGTTTAGCAGGACTCTTCTGCAGTGCAGCTAGGAGCAGTGAGAAAGATTAACCCGACACACTTGGAAACAAACGCAGAGCACAAATCTACAGATGCTGATGTTTTAGAGCAGAGATACCTTCTACTTTGCAAAGAGTAACAGTAAAGGGCCTTCTTGCAGGATATATATCTATATATATTTTTGGGGGAAGCACCGATCTCTCTGCTGGCTTGAGGTGCTTCCATGTTCTCGGTGACCTTGGATCAGCTTTGAAGTGAACTGGCTCCGGTAACAACTCTCGCTTGAGTGTTTGCAGCCTTGTTTATGACTGCTGGCATCTGAAACAGCCCGGGCATACAGACCGAGGGCAGAGGCCTAGGCATTTCATTCCAGCGCCACCACACAATAACAGGAGGTCACGAGGAGCAGAGAGTCCAGAGTATGCCGATTTAATACCAAATACCACCTTCCTAGCTTGGATTCGTCTGAGCGACCAAACAAATCTGCTTTGATGTACTCTTTCAAAGTTTTAGAAAGGGATTTATAATCTTTTTTAAAAAACATAAAGAAAAGACCGTCTTTAGAGTTTTTACAGTGCCCTTGCTTACCTTTGGGATGTCCGGGGTCGCTGAACTCGTACTTCCCGCTCCCAACCGTCCGCAGCATTTGCAGCCCGTTGGGACCGTCCTGATTGTCGGCAGCCGTTTGCTGGCCATGCGCTGCTGCTGCTGCCGCCGCCGCCTGTCCGTTGGTGAGAGGCAGGGTGTGGGGCTGGATGAGGCTGGGGTGAGAGGTTAAGTGGCCGTTGCCAATCATGCTGTGAGCGTTTGGATGAACCACCGGGTTGGCCTGGGCAGTGAGGGCGGATGGTGTGACCGTCGGCTGGGCTGAGGCGTACGGAGGCTGGCTGGGCATGCTCAGCACCATAGAGGGCGGCTGCTGGGTCGACTGCGGCGTCAGCTGGAAGTGGGCGGTCATGAGGGGGTGTTGCGGGGGCACCGGCGTCTGGATGGATGGGGTCACTCCTATGATGGGAGACTGCGCGGTCACGCTGTGGTTGAAAGAAGGCGGCTGAGGGAGGGCGTAGGTGTGGGACAGGAGACTGGGCTGGCTCACCGCCGCCACCGGTGCGGGCCAGGTTGGAGCTGAGGGGAAAGAGGCAAAATACTACAAATCAATTTCACATTTTTTAACGCCAAGACAAAGTCAAGATAAAGACTTCTATGCTGCCGTGCTATTTAGGTAAGCTGCACAAAGTCGAAAGCAAGAGAAGGGCGCTAATTTTAAGTCGTGATATTACGTGATCAAATACAGACAGAAAACAGCATGAGAAGACAGACTCCAGCTTGAGTTGTGTTCCTTACCACGCCACAACTGTCAGTGTGCCGCTCCACTTCAGTCTAAGTTTGTTTTTGACTCGAGACTTAATATAAAACACAAAATATTTGAAGGGATGTACAGATCAGCACCCAAAATCAACATCATAATAAGATTAAGAGATTTATTTTGCTACAAGATGAACAAATAGCTTCCTGAACGTGAAGGCATACATGTTCATTGCATTCGGCATTTGGCACCATTATCTGTGCAGGAGTCTGTGTTTACCCAGACACTCTGAGCCAATCATTTCTCTACCCCGAGGCGTTAGATGCTGTGGATGTGCTGGGAAGGCCATATTGGACCTAAACGCCGTCTCCCTCCCTCCCTCATCCACTCCAACTCCTTCATCTCTGGCTCCTCCTGCCACGGCCCAAGCTCCAAAAATAGACTAGCGCTCTGCTAAGGGGCCAAAGGCTAAATGACAGCATGCAAAAAGCTGAACAAAAAAGAAGAAGAAGAAGCCCGCATTATTCATGGTACTAGCCCTGCAAGAGTCCGGGCGGAGATGGATGGAGAGAGAGGGAAAGAGAGATAAAGACAGACATTGCGAATAAAAGGAGAGGTCAGTCCAGTTCATGATTCACGTCATTGAGCCAATCGGCACCAACGCTGCATTTTCATTTCCCCTCTTTTGAAGCCCATCTTGATAAGGGATGGTAATCAAAAGTGTTGGTATAATGGTTGCACATGCTGCAGAGGCTCAAGGTTTTAAAGGAGCAATGGAGTTGACTGGAACATACACACATTTTCCATCTGCCCTGCAGTTCTTTCTTGACTTTTCTTTCAGTCTTTTAAGAGGAAAAAAAAAGAATTTTGCCATCGTGACCCGACAACAACCTAAATTTATAGCGCTCACCTGCAAGGTTTAACAAAAACGAAGAATCTCTAATTTTCGTCTTATTCCCTCAGATTTAACCGTTGAACTCCGCTTATTATTTATTTATTTGCAGAGCAATTTGCTTGAGTGCAAGACTGACATTAAAAAAATAAAAACGCGACTATTTTTGTACAAAGAAGCGAAAGTTGAAACAAAACTTCTTTTTCAAAAGGCAAACTTTCTTTAACAGACAGAACAGTGAAGTTTCTGTTGAAAGAAACCGTTGATTAATTCTGGCACAGTTGGCAGAGAGCTCTCTGGCAACACAGTTCAGTGAAGTGTGGAGAGGAGCTGGCTTCGTTGCAAACGCCAGTCACAGCTTGGAATAGCGCGCGCACGTGAATCAATATGCAACACTATGCTTGAATTGGAGCGTCATATGCGACAGCGTGCCGGTGCTGGTGACATCTCACTCTCCTCACGCTTCAACTCCAAGCTGTGGTGTGGGTGTGGGGAGCTGCTGTGGCGACGGAGCACAAAAGCTCCACGCCGTCCTAGTGCAACTGCATCGCTCCTGCAGCGAGCAGGCTTCTGCTAAAGAAACATTCCTCGAGTAACTGATCGGCTGTTTAATAATTAATCCGCAGACCACGCAAATTATAATTAGGAGGGGAACTGAACAGGCAGCAGCAGGGGTTGCAACATGTTTTGAACATGATACTTAGCCACCACAGAGTCACAGCTGTTTGTAATCTGGATTTGTCGAGCCAGAATTTCCACCGGAGCGCGCGCCGGGCCAGTATTACTCTTAAATGAGACACATTTGTGATGAGCAGGAAGCGCATGGGCCAACAGAGCAATGGAAGGAAATTAACAGCTCTAGGGCAGAGCCATTCTGGGTGAGTTCATTACAATAGGAGTAAAAAAACTTCAGCATTGGCTCAACTCGTTACTGTCGGCGCCGTGCGCTGTGCCGCTCCGTACACGTCTTAAAGTGGCGTGAACAGAATAAGGTCGACATCTAAATTAGACCTGCTGGAGATCATTTGGAGGACTTTCGCAGTTTTGCTATATCGGTTTGATTGAGGCTAAATCAGCCCCGATTAGTGACACAGTAACGAGGGTGACAAAATGATAGCAAAGGAGGATGGTGGGAGTCTGGAATGTGGGTGAGGGGATGCAGTCCTGATGCAAACTGACATTTCTGTAATTATATGCCTAATTAAGCTGGTTTATGTAAAGTTCATGTTTATGAATGAACATTATGCATGATTGTGTATGTAAAGCAAGCATATTGCAGAGGCGAGTGGGTTTATTTAGGGCAACGAAAGATGGCTTATTAGCATTGGATGCTAGTTTAACTGGCCAGAGCGTCTAGATGTGAAGCACGAGTGTG